TTTCCCCCCCCCCCCCTCTCAGCCACCCCACCCCCCCTGCCACAGCGTTGTGTTGTAACTTGGCCCTGCAAGATCACAAAGAAAAAATTAAGCTGAAACAAGCGAACTACTGGGCCATTTACTGAGAGTAATCCAATTGCAAAAAACCCTATTCCCAATAGAGGATTTTCACTAAAATCCTACAACAGGGACATTTAACCAGATTAGGTACCAGCGAAGATAAAGAGGCTAGTATTAGATGATGAATGGATTAGAGTCAAGTTTCATTTCAGAACGTGTCTTCATTTCCTTTTATTACTTTTAGGAAGGCACAACTTGCATTAACATCAAGGAAAAGGAACTGCATTAAAAGGAAAGAAGGAAGGTCCTAGTGCTGCCCACTAGCGCCTCCCGAGTTCAGGGCCACTGAGCAGTCAGTTCTCGTTACTGGTTTCCTTCTGGTCCTTTGTTTTTGATGGGCAAGGGAAGGCATAACATGGGAAGGTCCTTGCTGACCACTGTTAATGGCAGCAAAGGCATAGTTCATGAGCGAGTGTAACATTTCCATGGGTTTGTTTAGAAAGAAAAAGATGGCCTTTCTAGATGCTTCAGGGGGAAATAAATACAGGAGAAAAAAAGGCTTCCAACAACCTTATTAACTGATTCCTATCAATGACTGGACTCTTTCTGAGAGCAAGGGTAGCTAGTGCTCATAGGAGCCTTTTGTTGTGATCGTGTTGCAATCGAAGCAATTAAATTAGCAACAAGCACTTCCTTAGCGTCTGCAGCCATGAAGGTCTGTCTGGGTAAGGCCACAGTCACTGGCGCGAGGGCTGCTGCCCCACAGATCTACTGTGAGGACTTTAACACTTCTGTCAGGGGCAACCTGAGAAGTAATGAACAAATATGTGGGGACTTCAAAAAGTTAGTAGAAAATGCAAAAAAAAAAAAAAGGTGGATTTATTTGGGTCCAAAAAAAAGGGTCAATATCCATACATCATTTCTTCATAATTCACAAATTCCATGAACTTTTTGAAGATCCTGCATAAGTTCCTACTGTGTGCTGTGGTAGACAGGAACACGAGAAGGAAAGGAAAGAGAAGGAGGAGGGAGAGAGTGGAGATCGCCGGAAAGAAAGCAAAACGATCACTGCTGCCTTCTATACACTTTCTGATCGGAAAGATACGTAGAGATTGACATGAGAGAAAGCGCGTCAGACGCAGATGATTTAAAAGAAGTGTGGAGGGGCCAGCAGGCTGCGTGACGGCTAAGGCACTGGATGCCCACATGCCCAACGGTAACTCAAGTCCTGGACCTGAGGGCTGAAAATCACACCAGGCACATGTATGTCCATGCCCAAAATCCCACGCAGAGGATGGAGAAGGGACTGTGGCATGGCCAACCCCCAGGGGTGATTTCTCACACTCCCTCTAACTGTCTCTCTCTCTGTGTCTATCTGGTGAGTACATAAGTCCTATGGCAAAAAAAAAAAAAAAAAAAAAAAACTTAATTGAAAAAAAGAAAAAATAATCATAACATTAAGTGTGTAAAAGAATAGGGCCAGTGAGGGCAACCTCACATCCTCACATCCCCCAGAGGGAATGGGCAGGAAGGACTGATAAACTCCATGGCAGTACGACCACCACGTGCAATGGAAGGAGGCGTGCTCTGCCATGGGAGTAGGAAGGGCTGTAGTGGTCAGTGAGTCAGGCATCTCTTGGGTTGCTTATCACCAATTCAGATCCCTGGT